GGGCACAGTTATTGTAATGACTGAGAAAATCTCAAACTTTAAATAATACAATATATGTATTTAAGCCAAGGATTTTCCTAGAAAATACTATGTTATATTTTCTAACTGAAGGATTTATGGAATTAACATTTGTATTTCTAAATTCTGTAGCATATTTCATGCTAAGTTCATGTTTTACGATCAAGTAAATTCGATCGATAAATTCTCACCGTACTTTAAGGCAGAAGAATTTTCAGTACATATGTAGTTTGAGAATCTTAATTCCAAGAATCTCCAAGCACAGCATGATGTTAGCAACGTATGAAAAAAAACGCTCTGACATTTTAAAAGAAGAGAAAATCTTTAATTGTCAGACAGTTAGGTTGAAGTCACAAGATAAATACCTATAGTAGAAGGGTAGGATGTGAGCTCAGGAGTTGACACTGTCAGAAACAATGTCATTCCCGGGATATAATGCAAAAATTTAAGTTTAGAATTGTTTAGTCTAGAATAAATTTCAAGACTTGAAACAGTTCAAAATATTATGCGAGTAAGAATTTAACATGATATCGAAGTAGTCAGGAATTGATATTGAACTGTAAATAAGCAATAGAAAAGGAACTGTTAGAAACTGAAATTTTCTGTCGGCTAAGTACTTCCTTACAGTCAGTATAATTTTTAACAGTTTCAAAGGAAACTTAAGAGAGTAGACAAAAGTACAAGGGGTAGGTTTAATGGGTAGGATTGGATGAGGTGTGATGGTGAAAGGTGAAGAGAAATCATGACATATGTAATTTGATGGGGGTAAATGAAGAGTAATTGTGATAAACAATTTCTCTCCTTTCATTCACTTTGGCCGGCCATGCTTAGGGAATTATAGCCAAATTTTGGCTAGTGGAGTGTGCTAGAGGATTTCATGATGAGATTGAGTCAAATCAACTATTTGACAAGGATGCTTACTTCACTTCCCTCTTGAAGCACACAACTGGCCAGCCAAAGCAAGGGGGAATTAACCCAAAATTTAGCTAATTAAGCTAGCTTGATAGGCTTAATTAAGAACTAAGAAGAGATCAAGCAAAGTCTATAAATGTTAGACCATTAGTGCAAGCCTTAGGTTAGCCATTTTGCACATTTCCTCTCCTTTTTCCACACACCAAAACCGGCCATACTCCACCCATTTCCTCTCAAAATTTTCTCTCACTCTCCTAACCCTACGCCACTAGCAAACAATAGAAGAAGAAGAAGAAGATCAAAGTGTTCTAGAAGGAGTCTAGTCAAGCATTTCTCTAAGAGTATAAACTCTAAACCCTCTCTTTCTTATGTTCTAGCAAAGTTTGAGATTTAGAAATATTCTTCTCAAATTTTCTTATACTCTTCTATTAACAAATCTTAGAGGAAGAAGAAGGAGGATCAAAGTGTTCTAGGAGGAGTTTAACCAAGGATTTTCTTTCCTCAAGGATATAAACTCTAAAACCTTTCTCTTCTATTTTCTTTTCTAGCAAAGTTTAAGTTTGAGAATCCATTGATGTAATTTGTGATTCTCAAGGAAATGAGTTTGTAATAAGGGTGTGTGAGTTTTAAGTTAGTTTTGTGAGTTTTGAGGTGTTAAACCAACACTGAAATCAAATCTTTTAAAGAACTTAGTGGTTTATCGAGTAAATCATCCCAACGGGCACCTACGAGCCCAATACGATCGGCCCTTAGAATTTTAAAGATTGGATGTGGGTCCAACGCCCGCATTTAATTCAAGAGACCCCGTTTGAGTTTACATTTCAACGACCTAAGAGTTAGAATGCCGTGAATAAGTTCTAGGCCGAATTGGGCCTTAATACTATAATAAGTCCAATGAGGAAAATTATGGAGAATAAGTTACTAGATTGGGTAAATGATTTTCAATCTAGACATAAGTATGTTAAGGACAATTAAAAAAATAAGATTGTGAGGATTTAATAAATTGATCCTTATAGTAAATTATCCTTCAGTAAAGGAAAGGAATACATGCCTTAAATAATTCCTTCATAAGTTGCTAAAATAGAATAGCAAACGACAGTTAATCTCACACTCTCAATGGGTGTTTATTTTCAGAAATAAGCAAGTAAGAGAATAGACTGTTTGGCGAAAAGTGGATTCCAGCTCTGTAAATCAGGTAAGTAGGAATCTCGCCTACAGTATGAATAGATTTTAAAGAAAAAGTTACACATGTTATATATGCATGTTTATGCTTTAAGTATTGTATGCGATGCTATGTCATGCTGCATACACTTAAGCAGTGCACATGAATTATATGTGTTTGAGTACATTTAATGTTATGTATGCTATGCTAGGTCATACTGCATACACTTAAGCATTGCACACTAATTATATGTGTTTGAGTACATTTCATGTTATAGTATGCTATGTTATGTCATATTGCATACACCTTAATAAGTCAAGAACTTATAAGAATAATCTCAGTTGAGTATCGTACTAGCCTCTGAGAGGGAGGTGACTCAAGCTCCCAATGGAGAAGAAAAAAAATAATAATGTCCTCTGAGAGGGAGGCATTCAGTTCAGTTATAATCACGGTGTCGTGGGGGACCTTGCAAACCCTCACGTCACGATGATTACGCGCAAGTGGTACGATCACTCGGACCCATCAGTAAGAAAGATAAGATAAGATAATAAGACTATGATAAGACATCATAATTAAGCATAATCAGCTCATGCATATTTATTCATGTGTAGTTATAGTTATTTTGTGAGAGATAGTTCCTACTTGCTGAGCGAAAGCTCAATCAGATATGTTCATGCTGTAGGTAAGAAACCTATCAGTAATTCTTGAAGGGCAATGGCAAGCGGTGGACGAATAATGGAGATGGGAATGGATACCGCTTGTAAATATTTCCGCAATTAGTTTTACGTTATAAATAGTTTTGCTAATTATGATTCGAAAACTATATGTTAAATGGTTTTGTGGATTATGATTGTTAGTAAGCAAACTTACGGAGTAAGTGTGTATATATATATATATATCCATATGCTTTGATAAACATATATGTTAACATTTGAATATTTGATCAAGAAAGCAATTCGTAATATATGTCGTATTAGTAAGTTTTTTTTTTTAAAAAAAGAATGCTACAGCATTTTAAAAAGAATGCTACAGCATTCCTACAACATTTTAAAAAAAGAATGGTATAGCATTCCTACTGCATTTTAAAATGCTGCAGTATTCTAAGTAACATTTAAAAAAAATGTTTCGCAAATTTTAAAAAATCTCAGTAAGTACAAGTTAAATTTTAACTACAGTATCGGCCTCTTAGAAGGGTCTGTAAGGATAGAGGTGATTTTACGCCATGCCCAACTTAGACCTAGTGCTATAAATAGATCCCTTGGGGTGTCTTGCAAAGTTGGATCTTTTGCTGGCCTTCCATCAAGGTTTCCTTAGTCTCTCTCCCTTCTTTCTTTTAAAAAAAAAAAAAAGAAAAAGAAAAATAAGAAGTCAAAACCATTAAAGGTTGGAAAGAGAAAACTGATAGCTGCCAAAAATTAACTTGGTGCGCACGCATCAGTTAATCTAAGGAATGGAGAATAGTGTGAAATATTGAATATTGAGAAGACTCGGTGATCACTACCGCGTTACATGGATTGTTCGTTAATCGAAATAATGAAGGACTACGTAAATTTTGTTTTGCTAAATAGGTAATTAATTCATGTTTACGATTAATTATTTTATACAATTAATGTCTGTTTAATTCGTTAATTTGAGTTAAAATGTGATTTTATGTGAGAATTTTTTACTGTAACAAAAAAGTTAAATGTGATTGTTTCTGATAATTTTTTTACTATAATAAAACTCAAATTTTAAACTCAAATCGGTAAAATAAACGAGATTTTAATGTGTGAGATCCTGACTTCCGCTGTGTTACCTCTTTATTACAACTAACAAGTGTCTAATGGAAGCAAATAGTGGAAGGAGTGAGAGATGCGAATGAGTAGTAGAAGAATTTTTATACTAGTAGTTCTTTGATTGGAGGAAAAAAAAAGAATAAATAGTGAGATTTTTATCCTTTTAAAAATATCAATTTTAGTAGCTCCTAATATATAACATTAGAAAAGCAACTCCGTAACAAACATAATAAAAAAGGGAACTTTTACGAATAGGGTGTTTCTAGGATCTATTTTTAGTAGTTAAATTTGATAAAAATAACGATAGATTAAAAAAAATGTAGATTAGACAATATCTAATAAAAAAACTAACAGCTAAAAGTATGAAATTATCGATATTATTGTTTTTAGATCGTACGAGAAAAACACCTAACAAAACAAAAGAAATTTTCTCCGGTAGTCTCTATAAAAATGAACTATCAGTAGTCTCTGTAAAAATAAACTACTAATAGTCCCTTACTTTTCAGTCATCATATCTATATATGTATCAGAATCTGTCTGTTTTACATACTTTTTTAATTTTATATAATTTTGACTAAATATAATTATTAAAAATTGAGACTACCGATAGCGCGAACTACTAAAAAAATTTCTCTTGACCTCCATTTTTTATCACCTATGGCTATCAACATTTCATTTTTTTTTGGGTCCCTATTTTAGGTCCTACTTAACACGAGCGTATATCCTAATAGAAATTTGAGAGAAAGAGAGATATAGGCCAAGACTTGAGATGAATTAAAATTAATAGATCAATAGTTTACATAAGTTAATAAATATGTCAAATTACTGTTTTCGTCCATAACTTGTCTAGTTATGAACCATAACTTGACAAGTTATTGTCTATAACTTATCTTGTTATGAATCATAACTTAATAAATTTATCCATAATTTATTTAATTATGAACCATAACTTAATAAATTATGACCTATTAATTTTTATAATTAAAAATTAATTTATAAACTTTCTTAAGATTTTCACATCGGTTTATTTCCTACTATTTCCGTAGAAATTTGTAGCGAGCCAAAAATCTCAATTGGGCTTGTGGGAAGTGTCAAAGTTGTGTGCTATTCAGAGAATCTTCATATAATGCATAGCCAAAATTTTCTAGTGCACAGCTTGCCCAATCACTGCCTTCGTCTTCACTAGCATTCTCTCTCTCTCTTTCTCTCTCACAGCCACATTCTATTGATGGTAAAAACTTGTCCATCCACCAAAACCGTAGTTGTTTATTTGCTTGGTCTGTAATTTTCATCCTACCCAACACAACCCTCCTGTGGCCCTCAATTTCCCAAAAGATTCATTTCAGTTCTTCCATTTGTTCGTTTTCTCCGAGATTCCCATTTCTTTTCTCGTAGCTTTTGCGCTTTCTGGTAATCTCTCAGCTACTACGTCTCTCTCTCTCCTCTCTCTCTCTCTCTCTCTCTCTCTCTCTCTCTTCGATTTATATACTTTACGCATTAGTATGTATTTTTACACTCTTCAGTTCTTGCAGATTTCTTCATCCGATTGAAGTTCACTTTTGGAAGCCTTTGGTTTTCATATTCTTTTTACTTTGGGTGGCCAACAACTAGTATTTGATCCGTGAGATTCTTATTCCTTTTCTTTTCTGTGGGTGTGTTTAGATTTTCAGATTGTAGACCAATACGAAAAAAAAAAATGTTAAATTTTTTATTGATTTTTTTATTTCTGTTGATCTTGACTATTGTTTTCATTAGATCGTTCTAAAGTGTTTAGCTTTGGAATAAAGCTGGCCTTTTCGGCTTTCTCCAAATTTCCCTTTTGGTATAGGATTCCGATAATATGAACACCAGCTTTTGGGCGTAAAATGTTGTCAAGTTTCGTTTGATTTAACAAATGGATTTAGATTCTTGTCTAGTATCAATACCCCACAGTTCTAATCTGGCATATTTAAGGAGAATAATGGGTTAGCTATTTGTATTGCAATCTTGTATGACAAAATTTTTTTATTCCTAAACTTCATTGGTGATTTATTGTTTGGAGTATAACTTTGTTGGTATTCAAACCCAGAAAAGTTGTATACCACTACAGAACTGTATTGAGGTAGGCCTAGTAAATTTTTGTGTTCATGGTCAAGTTCTGCTTTAAATTCATCGTTTCCGCGAAATTACAGTAGAATGAACAAAAATTGTGGGGGAACTGGCATTTATGATACGAATGCAAAAAACTAATGTTTACACTTCAGTAACACAATTCAAATTACATAGTCGTGTCAAATGCGAGTGTATCCGTAGAATCTAAGGTAGGTTATAGTTTTCTGTAAGAGATAAGACCTGTTTTTACATAGGATAAAAAGCTGTTTGAAAATCTTGAAGAGGGCTCAAATTCATTTATAGATTCAAGCATGTTGGTTGCTCAGTTGAGTTTCTAGGAGGTAGAATCATCAGAAGAAAAGTTATGAAGCTTTTTATGAAGGTTTCTACCCACTTTATGTTCTCACTTCTCCCTACCCTGTTTATTACATTGAGTCTTTGATGAGAAAGTTTCTTAGTAGAAATCTCCTTTTGCTTTTATTGATGATGATGGTTAGTGCCCATGTAATTTGCAATAGGATCTGGTGAAGCGTCTTCTGAGTAATATCTATGTGAAAGATGCTATTAGTTGGGTGCAATTGAAGTTTGGTTTGGTGACCAACATATCAGTCTCTTTCACCATTTGTTATGTGTTTCGAAAGTTTGAAATTGGTCGCACTTGAAATCTGATTTCATTTTCTTTCTGAAAGGTTTACCTTCCAGGACATGCATGTTTTGATTGGTAGGTAATGAGCTTTACTTCCTACCTTTTTTCTAAAAGAGAAAATAAAACACTGATGGTGTTCTGCTAAGCCGGAGTTCTGCACGTATTCTAACACAACTTTGTCGCTCCTCTGATTTCACAAATGTATCTTTTCGTCTTTCTTGAAACTTTAAACAAAGGCTCTCCTAATCTATTAAATTCATACATAATCTAACCAATTTGGTATTTGAATATTGAACCAACAGATGGGGGACGTGCTCAAGGACCTAACATCAGGTACTGTTGGAGGGGCGGCACAGTTGATATGTGGACACCCGTTTGATACCATCAAGGTTAAACTCCAAAGTCAGCCTGTTCCACCCCCTGGCAAGCCTCCCAAGTATGCTGGTGCGATGGATGCTGTCAGGCAAACAATAGCCGCTGAAGGCCCGAGGGGTCTTTACAAAGGCATGGGAGCTCCACTTGCCACTGTCGCGGCATTCAATGCTGTCCTCTTTACAGTAAGAGGGCAATTGGAGGTATTGTTGAGGTCCGAACCCGGTGCCCCTCTTAATGTAAACCAGCAAATCATTTGTGGAGCTGGTGCAGGAGTCGCTGTTTCAATTCTAGCTTGTCCCACTGAGCTGATCAAGTGCAGGTCAGTTTGATTCTTTTGGATTTGTTTGATATATGCTTACAGCTGTTAATTGGTACTGGGATAATTTGAATTACAAACAAACGAGTTATGATTTTATTCCACGAAGAATAAACAATACTTGTAACTATTATTGATTGATTTTCATATTCCAATGCTTGTTTGTTTTTAAGTTCATAAATTGAACGTAAAAATCTGTATACAACCTGTTAAGCTTGTGTTTGTTTGATGGTATAGGTTGCAAGCACAAAGTGCATTGGCAGATTCAGCTGCGGCTGGTGTGGCAGTGAAGTACGGAGGACCGATGGATGTGGCCAAGCAGGTTCTCAGATCAGAAGGCGGAGTAAGAGGTCTCTTCAAGGGCTTGGTTCCCACCCTGGCACGTGAAGTACCTGGAAATGCTGCAATGTTCGGTGTATATGAAGCGCTCAAGCAATACTTTGCAGGAGGTCCAGACACATCTGGATTGGGAAGAGGCTCATTAATCGTGGCCGGAGGCTTGGCTGGAGGGTCCTTTTGGTTCTCGGTCTACCCAACTGATGTTGTCAAGAGTGTAATTCAAGTAGACGACTACAAAAATCCCAAGTACAATGGTTCAATTGATGCTTTTAGAAAGATCCTTGCTGCAGAGGGAGTCAAAGGTCTCTACAAAGGCTTTGGACCCGCCATGGCTCGAAGTGTTCCGGCAAATGCAGCGTGTTTCTTGGCATATGAGGTTACGAGGTCGAGTTTGGGGTGATGAGAATCTCGTGCCTAGTTTCTAACGCAAAGATTGAGCACAATTTGACGTCAACATTTGCAAAGTGGCAATGCCATTTTTTTAGACGTTTACTTTTCAATTTGGTGCCACCACCTTCCTATGTTGTGCTATCCAGTGCTGGCACATTCTTTCACCAATGACTTTGGTGCTCTGTTTTATAGTTCAAATCAAGTTATCTTCTCTTGCTATTGCTTTCCGAAGGTATCGAATAATTGATAACGTTTATGTGATTAAGAAAACAGGAAAAAAAATAAAATAAAAAATAAGTGACTGGTTTGATGAATGGTTATTCTTTGGCGGGGTTGGGGGCAGATATTGCATCTTTTGCAAAGCTCTGTCTGTGTCTGTTGGGAACAAATAAAATAATAAATAAAGACAAAAAGACAATAAATTATTTACTCTGATTGAGATCATTGATTTTTTTTTTAAATCAATTCGACATTGTTTAATATCGCACCCTTATGAGTCATGACATAGGGACTCACATTGTTTTGTAGCTGTTTGAAAAACTAAAAAGAGTGGAATACCCTCGTCTTCCTTCTTGCTTATGTTCATCCTTATGGGCTGGAATGGTGCGTGCAATTATAGGTAATTTTGATAATTACCTCTTAAAATGAAGATTTTTGAGTCTTAGTATTAGTTTACTGAATTTTGCTCCATTAGAATAAGTAATTTTACGTACCATTATTTATAATTTGATAAATTACGTTGGCGGTCAGTCTCCGGTCACTGGCGGCGGGTCTCCGATCATCGGCGACAGGCGTAATTTAACATTTTATTATATATAATTTGATAATTTATTATCAAAATGGTAGCATATCGCGATAAAAAAGTAGAACTTCATGAGAATGTGTTTAAAGGTTAATTTTTGCGATTTTCTTGCAATGACTGCGGATAAATACAAGTGGATGATTTCTATTTATTGTTGGTCTCAAATTTCTCGTCTTTTGTTTTTCTTTTTTGTCACATCATTCACTCTTTTGTGGCTCCTTTTTTTATTTATCATTTTATGTCGTTTTCGTCGATTCACTTTAATTGTTTTTTAGTTTTATGTCGTTTTCTACATTGTCATTCTTTTGTTAATTTTGCTCATGTCTCCTTTCTGTCGTCTTTTTTCGCAATCGTTTCATTTTTTTTTAATAAAAATATTGTTTATTCTTCAGTGTCGTTCTTATTTTATTGTCGTTGCTCATTTCGTTTCTTTTTTTTTTCCCTGTCACTGTTTCCTTTCTTTAGTTGTCGTTCCATTTTTATAGCTATTCACCCTCTCGTCGAACCTACCCACGTAGTTCTGCAGCGCGCAAGGTCGCTGTCCCCAGCTCCAGCGTTTGAGGCCGCCTACCTCTATAGATCTGTAGACCCAGATATATCGCCTCCCATATATAAAGTGATAAAAAGAGTGACAAAAAGTGATAAAGAAAATGAAGAAAGTGTAACGGTAGCATTTTTCATACAACTAAATTTACACAAAAGTTCACTAAACCTCCTATAAATATTAAGAATAAAAGGGTATTTTACACATTTACCTCCCGAACTTATAAATATTAATTTTTATAAGTTGTCCTCTCAATTTGTTAAATTACTGTAATGTTCCCCATTTGGCAATTATTGTATTAAATTAGTGTTAAAAAAACACATTTGATGAAAATTTTCAAACATTCCAATTCAAATGTAACATAAATCTTTTAATTTCTCAACTTTTAATCTCTCACGTCTTATAAAAAATTTGAACAAATTTAGTAAAATTGGGCATATTGTAACAATTTTATAAGGTTAAAGGGTTGATTATCAAAATTAAAAATTAAGAGATAATTTACTAAATCACGACAAGATTAGAAGTAATTGTGTTAAAAACCCAAAATAAAATAATCCTTCACTAAGACTGACCCATGCTCAATCTGTCACGTAATGTAACAAACTACCGGATGACCAGTAAGGTGGACTGAATCAGCCTAACATTGGAGGAGGGAATATGTGTAACCGTCAAGTCCGTTCCGACTGAAAAGCACGACAAAAAATATATAACCATATACACACATTCATTTAACATTTGCATCCCCATTGGAAAAATAAAATAAATAAAAAAAACCTTGAATATTTAGCTTTCGCAAACAAAATATGAGTGATGCAACAATTCCATCTTCTTCCTCCAACCCTTTGGTTTCTAGGTTGGACCGTTTAGATTTCTTGGTGAGTTTTGATAATTAGTTCTCTCAATCTCACATAAAATTTTGAGGCATGCAAAAAATTAATGCTTTTAATATTTTCCCTTCTATTATATGATGTTTTTTTTTTCCTTTGTTTTAGATGAAATATTTGGAGAGAAGAACAAAGTTCCAAGGATTGGAAAGCAACAATGATATTACTGCTAATTTTTATGGGGGAGTAGTGGACAGGAATGGCTGTATACCAATGGATTTGGCATTGAAAGAGGTTCAGTTCAAAGGGTCTTTGGTGGATCGAGTGGCGGCTCTCGAAAGCAGGCTTTTTCAGGTGAAACGTATACTTCAGGTTGTGGGATATATACAAACATATATATATATATATATATATATATGTATATATATGAGAAAACTCATTAGTTACTTGCTTTGAATTTCTTGTCCAATCATGTCTAGATGTCATGAACCGGAGTCCTAATTAGACATTTCCATGATGTTGCATAATAAGTCATGTCATTAATCATGATCGAGTTATAAATCGCAAGATCTATAATTCTCCTTGGCATATTTTCAGCACCATCAATTTGGAAAATGGGAAAAGAGTGTTGCTTCAAAAATCTTTTTGCAAATCCGAAAAGGAGAATTGTTTCCCTTTCTTATTTAATTATGTGTTTACAACTTATAAAATGAAAAATAGTAGTTTAACAAACCCTAATAAGGGAAAAAAAATGTCAATCTTTGGACTTTTTGGTTTTGATTATCAACTTAAGAAGCTGAGTAATAAATTTACTTATATACTCTTTAAGTTCATATGTTATAAGCTAATGATCATTTCATTATCCTTTTTAAGTACCGGTAGATACTACTATTTTAACACTTGAATTAAATTTTTAACGGTTTTATTTGTGATTATAACAGTTTTATTTAGCGCGTTATAAATTTTTAACGTGAACACTCACAATCAGGCGTCAAAATCTTAATGCAAACTCAAATCACATTTCCATCATATTTTTTTTCCAAAATCAATACCTTTCCATCAAAGCCCCTACATGATTATGTTTACAAACCACCGCACTATTTGTTTGCTTCTTTTAGTATCTTTTAGATTTAGATTGAAGCAAATAAAGGAAGGATTGATTATGTTTCTTTTGTCTGTTCTTTCCTTTAATTTTCATGGCTGAATTAAGATTTGTTAGGTAAACTTTAATTATTGTACTGGTTGTTCAGCTATGCTTAGACATAGAATCAAGTGGTACGTCACGGGCTTCATCATCAGGCACTTCTTCTCAAACATCTGGTGACACTTCTAGTCACCCTTCCAGAGGAGAATCGTCTTGTTCATTGCCAACTTTTAACCCTCCCAATCCCAGTTATGGAAGTACAAGAATATCCCAAGTCCATGTCATGAGTACCACTCATGAAATTGAGGTAATTATAGCTTTCAAGATTATACTTTAATACCTAGCTAGACCAAAAATATGGTGCTTGTCCTACACACATATATATACACTCGTACATATATACTCTTAATTATTTAATAGATAAGATTTTTTTTTGTTTTTTCATTTTTTAAAATTGGTAATGAATGAGATTTTATCTTCTGTTTCGTTTATAGATTTGAATAGAAATTAAAACGAATGAGACATTAATCATTGGATTTTATATGATGGTAAGTGATTTTAATTACTAACCAACTAAATTTTTTTGGCACCTAACTATATAACTTTTGTGAGTACTGAGAAACAAACGCGAACCAAGGGCAGATTTATATTACTAAATTGAGCTCAACTAGGCTTGTAGTTAGGCAACTTTAGTTGTCTTTTCTAGTTCAATCGTCCTTTTAATTCAATTGCTCTTAAAGGGCTTATTTAGAGTATCTCTAATCATACTAGTATCTTTTGTCAAAACAACTAATGATCTTTTTTTTTTTTTCACTACAACTATTAACTAAATGGTTACCTATTTTATAGAATGCATTTTACACTAGCCAACTATAGCTAGACTAGTAGTAGTTATTAAATTTTTTTATTATTATTTTATTCTTTCAAATAATAATAAATGTAATCTTTTTAAAATTCAATAAAATTATTAATATTTTAAAATTCAATAAATAATAGAATAATCTAAGTTTAACTAAAACGGAGAGTATGGTTGAAGTGGTTCTCTTAAAAGTTGCTAGCTAAAATAACTTTTTAGAGCAACACTAAGAGAACTCTCTAAATTTTATCTAGAATAGTTTAAAAGCTATTTTAACTAGTAATTTTTGAGTGGGCTACTCCAACCATACTCACTATTTTAACTAAAACTAAATTATTGTATTGAATTTAAAATATAAATAACTTTATTGAATATAAAGAAAAGACCTCTTGAATTTATTTCTATTTAAAAAATAAAATAATAAAAAAATTAAATGGCTAGCCCCTTCTTGTTAGCTATATGTGGCTAGTGTAAAATGCATTCTCAAAATAGTTAATCATTTGCTAATAGTTGGAACGAAGAAAATACGAAAGAAAAAATTTAAATCATTAGTTATTTTGACTAAAGACAAGAAATGGTTAGTATGGTTGGAGAGACTCTTAGCTATTTTAGCTAAAATTTAATTACAATTTAGAGAGTTTACTTAGAGATGTTCTTGAAAATATTATTTCTATTAAAAGTATTCCGGCCTCTATTTTTAATTTTAATGGAGATAAAAGTTTCATATTGTCTCCATTAAAAATATTCCGGCCTCTATTTTCTTAATATTCTATCCCAATTAGTACATATTAAATCCGTGTTTAATGTTCCTCTTTTCTAATTGGATACTACACTTTTGAAAACAAATAAATGTAAATGAGCATTAATTTAGCATGTTGTTAATTTTTAATTCAAACATGAAATTAACAATACATATATTTAAAGGTAATGATGCGAAAAGAAAAACGGTATTTATCCTTATAAGAATAATCTCTATCATTCATAAAAAGTTAGATCTCACTTCCACTAGACTTATCATATCTAATAGGACCTATTTTATGTGAGTAGTAGGATTTTAACTCTATAAAGATGAATATGAATAGTAGTGTTCGTCTAAAAAATATATAATGTTTACAATGGAACCTTTTCATTGCTTTCGTTAGGAAATGTATTTAGAATAGAACTATTAATCAATACTATTTAAAGCAATGCCCAACCAAAAAAAAAAAAAAGTCGTAGATTAATTGCTCCGGAACCACCACAAGTATATAGTAAGTATTGCTAATTAAGCCATAATTGTTTCACTATTGCCATTTTGACAATTCACAACCTTTCCAATAATTTATGAACAAAACTCAGAAAATTGTCCAAAGACATCATAACATACTTTTCCTTAAACCTTAGTTGTTGAAATCATACATCATTGTTAATTATGATAGTGGATAATGACGGTGCTATTTATTGTGTTATTGTCACCTTATTGCTTGTTTCTGTATCATTTCTTTTCGGTTTTTTTTTTTTTTTTTTTTGATGATGTTTCATCTCTTTTCGTTATTTTATTGAGATAGATAGTTGTTTGATCTGTCATACATGAACAACAACACAAATTTTCCTTTGGTCCACCCGCAGATTATATTCTCTCCAATTCGCCACTAGCGAGGTTACAGTATATGAAATTCCATCATATTAAAAAAAATAAAAAATAAAAATTAGGCTTATAATAAAGAGGGGTAGATGTCCTTTTTGGCATGATTCACTTGGTTTTTTTTTCTCAATTTTTTTTTTTTTTTCAGGAAAAATCTGATAGAGAGAAACAGAACCTGTATCCGGATCCTCCGAAGCAGAAACTTAAGAAGAATAAACCCAATAAAGATGAAAAATCTTCTATAAGTGGGAAAATTAAGAAAGCCCGTTCAAGTTGGCCACACTTCGGACTACTAGGTTGCAGCTAATTAATGAATTATTATCTTAATAATTTTAGTGTTGCACATTAAGACGTTTGAATTCACGCATATATAATTATTATTATGGTTATTAATTTATGTTTAATAAATTAAGGTATTCGTTACCGGTAATTTTGATTATGTGATCCATCACATATTATACATATATATACTAGCACATATGTCTTATAAAATAATATGATAACGTATGATTTGGTCAAATAATATGATAAAATAATATTCGTCCAATAAACATATATCTTTTCCATGTCTTTTATGCTGTAAAGTAGCTACCTAGTTTTCCCTCTCCTCATCAGCTTTGCAAAATAATAAAGCATAAAGCAAGCAAATACACGGTTGTCATGCTCTAAATACTGTTTTTCAAAGTTTCTCGGCTACTCTCCAAGTTGCATATGTGATTTCGGTGGGATATGATTTTGTTCATTGCTTTAGAGGACGTCAAATTCAAAACATATAAACTGAAAGCAGACAGGAAATGCTGTTCTAGATTCTAATAATCGACATTTTAAAATGGCAACTATTATTACATAGCACCTATCCCATAAATATATATATATATATATAAATACATTGATACGTATAATAAATATAATCCAAGAATATCCGATGTATAATATATGGCTCGACTCGTCCTAAGCCACACTCAGCTGAAATCACTATATAACCAAAAAAAAAAAAAAAAAAAAAAAAAAAAAAAAAAAAAAAAAAAAAAAAAAAAAAAAAAAAACGTGAAAATCTTACGTAGACATTAATCAAGCAACACTAACTAATAAGCATTTAAAAAACTCAACATATATCCTCTTTGTTACTTTTTTTTTATTTTTTATTTTAAGATATTATATGATGAAATAGGTATGCACAACAAGAACCACAAATTGAAAAGAAACACAAAATATAATATGGGTGGCCGGGAAGCTAACAGGTCATGATACGGCAAAGGGCTTGTTGGATGCTTCATGTCCATTTGAAAGAGTGAATTGCCTTTGTTTTTAGTGGGGGAATGTACGAATCTCTTGACCTTTTCAAACTTTAATGGGGTTTTGCTAAAAGGGTCAACTTTAGATCAACTCATCATACATTAGATAAAATTAGGAATCCTAGTTCAATGTATTTTTTGTAGCAGTACGCAACACATTTTTAAAACATTATATAAGGATAAAAAAAAGAATATGGAGGGAATATTGAGTTTTTTTTTAAGAGATAGTTAGAGAGAGAGTGAGAAGGTCCTTGGAGAGCAGAGGTTGGCCAGAGCTCTGGCACTGCCTTCAGGTGCGCCGTCAGACTCCCGGTCGTGAAATTTAGTTCTCCGACTAGTCTCGTCATGGGTTTCTCATTAGTAGTGGTAGTATGCGACGTGGTAGCTCCATTTGGGCAGATCTAAACCGGTTAGGAGTTTAGAAGCTAAATGGACGGTCTTCTTTCTCAGGAGAGTTTTTCGCTTGGTGACTGAGATCTCTTTGCTAGCTATCTTCCTCGATGGTCCTTTGACCAGACGCCCTTCATCGGAGGTTTCTACCAGTGATGGCCAGAGGTTTTTATTTTTTTGTAACCTTTGTGTTTGTCATAAAGTTGGTGGTTTTCCCGCTCAACTCTCATCTGGTTTGTTATTTTTTGTTAGATTTAGGTGTTCAACTTAATGCCGATAGGGAGGTCTTGGTCCGGCGAAATTTTTTTCTATGTCGTGCAGATGTTTCCTTTTATGTGGGTTTTGACGATCTACCCCTCCAGTGTTCAACAACTTATGTTGAAAAGAGGAGTTTTATCCAGTCAAGCTTTTAGTCTGATCATTGTTAGTGTGCTGAGGTACTTTCACGGTTTCGGGCCTCAAGCATGCGTTTGTCCGTCTGATAGGTTAGCATTGTACTAAGACGACTGTTTATTAGTATTTTAATGAAATGTAATTTTTCTTTTCAACAACAAAAAAAAATGATTTCTAAACCCCAAAGATTGGAAATACCCCCCAAACTAGTACCCTAAACAATTTCTAAACCCCAAAGATTAACTCATTGATTTCTACCCTTTTTTAAAATTCCAAAGTTACCCCTAATGGTCCATTGGTAAATATAAGATATGTCGGCAGTTTCCCATTGCCGATCGGCTAGGGGTCATAACCTGACCGGCGGTTATGATTCATAACCTGACAGGTTACACTCGCCGGTGACCATAACCTGATAGGTTATGATCCATAACCTGACAGATTACACCCTCTGCCGGCAAGTCTTTGGCTGGTCGCTGTCTATAACTTGACAAGTTATAATCTATAACCTAATAGATTACACCGGCCGCTATCCATAATCTATCGGGTTATGATCCATAACCTAACAAATTACACCGGCGTCGACCATAATCTATCAAGTTATGATTCATAACCTGAAAGATTACACCGGCCGCCGACCTTCGGTTACCAGTGTCGGCCATAGTCTGACAGGTTATGGTTCATAAATTGTCAGTTTATGCTTCATAACCTGGCAACTTATGCTTCATAATCTGTCAATTTATGAGATTATGATCCACAACCTGCTAGTTTATGATCCATAAACTGTCAGATTATGTTCATAACCTGATAGATTATGCTTTATAACCTGCCAAATTATAAAGTAGAATCTGCTACATTATCTTGTTTTTTCAATATCACTAGATTTATAGCAGCAATAATCAAATTGAAAAATTAAAACACAAAAGAACTATTCAAGAATTTCAA